CATTTGTCTTCTGATGCCCAGGAGAATGCGCTTATCACTGCATTACCTATTAAGCTTCTCGTGGCCTCCAAATGGAAAGAGCTGTCATTAATATCCTTCATGATAAAAAAAAAGTTTCTTCAAGGGGTTAGGGAGTGTGTGTGTGTGTGTGTGTGTGTGAATGTCAGATGACTGAAAGCTGTCTGCTTCTCTGCTCTTGAACATCACTCAAGTGAGCTCAGTTTTTGACAGAATGTATTACGAATTATATCCAGCACCCTTACATCCACACATATTCACTCTAAGGTTTCACCAAGTTGAATTTTTAAAGCTTCCTGTAGTTGGTATTTTGTACCAATATTTAATACCTTTGATTATTTTGAGGCAAAAAACACTCTCAATTTATAGCCTATTATGTCATACTGAAAATCATGACGATGAACCATGATTTTAACATAACTAGAGTATGTTTAAAGCATTGTAAGCAGTGCTTTAGGCTAAATGCTAATGTCAGCATGCTACCAGGCGGGTGGTTAGCAGGTATAATGTTTATTATGTTAACTATCTCAGTTTAGCATGCTGATTAGCATAAACTCAACGTTAGTAAGGTGGAGAAAACTGATGGTACAATCTGTAGTCTAAACCAATTTACTTTTGGATTCACTTTAAATTAATTCAGCAACCTTGGTGCCATGTTTTGTTTTAAGCTGTCCACAATGCAAAATTGACCATGAATTCTCAGCTGAACTAATTAAAACTGGTGGCCATTACATAAACTGTAAACTGTAAATCTGATTGTTACATATTGAGGATATCATTTAAAGAAAAATTTAAAATAGGGGGGAAAACACTTCCTGGTCAAAGTGGCGGACTGTCAAAAATGTTAAAAGCTAATTTAAAAAACTCCTGAAAGCAAGATACAGCAGATTTCATTATAGTTTTCCCACTCCCCTTAAGCTGCTGAGAGAAATCCTACATCAGTGAACAAACAGACCCCATATCTGATTATCATATAAAGCTCAACACTAATGTAATGGCAAACCCATACTGTATATTGGTCTACCATGCACATCCACATGAATTGCGTTTAAGAAAGATGAAAAGGATTAGAAGCAGTGAAATGTTGACAACATCGGCCCCAGAGGAGAAGGCTCCAGGTGGGGTTGTCGGAGCGTGGAGCTCCTTCCCACTGTACCTCCTCCAGGAGACATAACATGGCTGGGTGAACTCCCCTGTGCAGGGCCCTCATTCTGTCTGTGTCACATCCCATTTGTAATGCTCACATAGGTGACTCACGCAACACTGAATTGCTATTGTTTTTGTTTTTTCTTCGATTTATCTTAGATACACCGGAGCTGTTTCTCTGTGTAAAAGTCTACCATTTATAGTCAAACAGGTAGACACAGTGTGTGTATGTGTGTGAGAGAGGGAGTGGGTTTACATGCTTGCAGTGCACGTCATAGGGATTAATGATCACTAAGTGCTATCCCTGCCATCTACAGTAATATTGCCTGTTTTTATTCAGATTCACAGTTTCCATTAGGATTCCATAAAGCATTATTACTATGTATGTCACTCTCCATCTCTGCTGCTATTACTCACTTCTGTTATTTCTCCACATTCTATCTAAAGGCTTGTCTTCTTCTTATTCTCCCATCACTTTCCCCTTCAGCCCACCCTCACATGGGCCTAACATTTTAAAACCTCCTCTAATTAAAACAGAAAGTCATTCCAAGCAGATGGCATGAGCTGGCCTAGGTAATTATTGCCAAGTGAACCATGGCCCCTGTAGACCTTCACTGAAATGAGTAGCAAGCTCAGTTGGATTGGGTAAGAAGCTCAGACTCCCACAGAGAAACTGCACGTCGTGGACACATCTGACCTGCAGAGGCCACGTACCGGATCAACATGAGATTTTCAAGGTCTTTGTTGTTCAGTCAAATAAAGTCTTAAGCAGCTCAAACTGTTTTTCCTAAGGTTCTCAATTCTGCCCTCAGCTCTCTTTTTGCTCTTCTCATGGGAGTCAGATTAATTAATTGAATAAGAATTTTCAGAATCTTCCAGGATTTGTAGGATGTTATGAATCTAATTATTCTGTTTCCTTTAAACCTGGTGTTATGCCTCAGGGTCCCTGTGTGCGTGTGTCTCTCGCTCTCTTCCACCGTCACACCTACCTACATTGGTGATAAATAGGTTTTAAAAATATGCATGCGTTATGCGAATGCGTGTGTGTTTCAGGAAACACCAGAGTTTGTTTTTTTTATAATGTGAGCATACCACTAATGAGTTTATACACTTGAGGGAGGTGTTGGTTAAAAGGATGTCACAATGCTCTTTTGCTCCATAATCATCCATCTTCACCTTTAACAAAGGCCCACATTCCTGCTCTCTAATGAGGACAGAAGTGGCACTTCAGCTGCACTCCGGAAAACCTACGCCATATGTGATCTAAGAACAATAACAGTCAAAAATATGTTTGGTTTCTTTTTTTGTGGCGCCAAACTTAGAGGCTTGGGGTTTAGAGAAAGAGAGACGTGGAGGAACAAAGGCAGGAGAGGGAATGTTTGTCTCAGAAGTTTAATGGGGTCAATGCATTACGTCTTGCGGAAAAGGCGAGAAAGAATGTTAATTGACGTTTTTGAAGTGAAATGAAACGGGGGGTGCTGATTGTGGTTACAGGCTGAAAACACATTTACCACTGAAACACAGGTCCCTATTAGAGCGACGCTATTAGACATTTCATAATTTTCTTTTGATACTGTCAACAAGCCAAGATGAGCCGTTATCGCTTTGACTTTGCCACTCTGACACAGAAGATAATTGGGAATGGGGCAATTAAACAAGATTTAGAATTAGAGACAAGCAGTCTCTAATCTGAGTGCTTCTCGATGGCAGGCTATCCTGAACTGTAGCTTTTGGACGGCAGTACCAAGACTTACAATCACATCATAGATAAAGCTTAAGTGAGCCATACTGTAAATGTGCTAATTAGGTTTCAGTGGGATTTTATGTGTGTTGAAAGACAGCCAGAGAAAACCAGACAGAAGGGTGACACAGAAAAGGGGTCTATAGCTGGACATGTCCCCCACAGTCCCGCTCACTTTTCAAAAATATATGCTATCATGTAACTAGCTAACATATGACACAACGTGCATCTGTTACCTCTTTAATAATCCCACAGTCATGTATCGATTTGTTCTGTCGTACTTTCATGTTTTTTGAATAATTTATAGCTGGATCACACAGAAATATGGTCATAAATAATAACTGCATTAACAAAAGTCTCTGGAAACCCTGCTGTGACTAGTGGGGCCAGCAGAAATGCCTGTCTTAAGGGAATGCTGCTTGAAACCATGTGCCCTTTTTTAGTCAAAGTAAGACTCATGACGTTCATACGATGCGTCGAAGTGTTTATAATTGTTTCAAATGGCCAAACTGGAAGGTAGGGTGAAGAGCCGGTCATCATAGAGAGGGGAAAAACGCAATAATCGTTTAAATATGGGGATAGCGGCGCAGTAGTCTCTCCTGGTAGACATTCATAGCGTTAACCTTGGTTATTCAAATGAAAGGGACAGAAATAGTTGTGTAAAAAGAGAGCTAGAGAGAGAAGTTTAATGCTTCTTTCTCACCTCCACAGTGCTGGCCAGTAATGCCGTGACGTCGGAAAGGTGTAGGAGTTTCTGAGGATATTTAACAAGCACGCTGACAACCTGACAGGAACTGAGTGTTCATGTCAGTGTCATCAAACATAAAGGGATGTTGTCTGTCACAGGAAACTCTTTCTTCCTGCTCTTCTATCATTAGATCGTTTTTAATCTATTCCACCGTGACAGCAGTTTATAAGGAATGAGTTAAACATGCTCAGGGGGAGGTATACATTTAAAGTTCTGTCTTTACTCTATGTTGTCACTAACTACCTAACTAAAGATGAAGTATAACTCCTCCACTATGTTCCACCTAATACCACTCATGCTTACACTTTTTTGCCCTTTTTATACCAAGGTCAAGAAATAGCAGGAGTTGGAGAAGTGAGAGCAGAGTTAGATTAGTGTGAGCGCAGCAAAGAAAGACTCCTGAAAAATCACTGCCTGCTTCTCTTTCCTCGCAGCCCCTCAGCTAAGCTTAAGCTCCCTGCACATCTCTAAACGCTCTATCTAATTTGAAGCATCAGAGCCAAGATCGGGCCAGCTTAGGAACAGTTGCGGCTGTGTAACAACACCAGAGAGCTCAGCTGAGGGCCTTTTAGCCAGTGATTTATTAGACTGTACCACAGGTCCTCCTGGAGTAGCAGGCTGAGGAAATTGAATGGCTCTGACCTCTGTCTGCTTCTGGCTGTCTGGCCGAGCTTGCAGACCAGTTGCTACAGGTGGACAATGTGTTTTTCGTGTGTGAAGCACATGTTTCTCTTTGAACACAGCGGGTTAGCAACCGTGGTAAGCTCTGGGCTATTCCGTAAAAGTTTCCGAGATCACTCTCGGTTTGCTCTTAAATGCTTAAACAGGCCTTTTCTGACAGGTTTTTGATCTCAAATACTCAGCACGCTTGACATGTTTATCAGCCTGTGGCCGTGCTGGAATGTAGCTCTGTGGTAAACACTTTTAAGGTAAAAGGTTTAACCTTGCCGAGCTTGCAGTGTTTAGCAATCAGCATCCATTTCACTGCTCGGTGATGGGAAACCTGAAGGAGAGATTAGACTTTTAGAGACCAGCAGATGGAGGGAGGGGAGGGGGAGACAGCACAATGAATAAGTGTCAAGAAAATAGGGAAGTGAAGATAATTAGCGAAGGATATCAGGGGAGAGAGCGATGGAGAGGGCTGCTTTGGAATAATGTGAGCGATGATGAGCCTGATCTTCTCTGATGAGAGGAATGATTGCTGGGATTCAGATAATGTGACCAGTTTCATGACAGAGATTAAGCCCTGCTGCAGACTGACCATGCTCTCCCCCTGTCCAACTGTCCTCACACTTCCAATTCTCACTGTTATTTTGTCTTTGTTTCTCTCTTTCTCTCTCTGAGCAGCCAGGAAGACGTGCGCCCCCGCAGAGTTCGCCTGCTTAAACGGCCAGTGTGTCCCGGGACGTTGGCGATGCGACGGGGAACCAGAGTGTCCCGATGGCTCTGATGAGGCAGAGGAGACATGCAGTAAGTGAAAACATGCAGCTGCTGGCATCAAGGACATCTTTCAGAATATTCCCAGTTTGTTTCAAGTTATGGGTGTTATTTTTTATAATCATGTCTGTTGGGGCAAGAAACACAAATTATCAGACAATCAGACAGGTTGTAAACAAGCTGACATTTTAGATACATTCTCCAAACCAGTGGTTTCCCAACCTGAGGTGCACCCTACAAGACGCTGCAAGACTGATCAAAAGGGTTGTGAGATGATTACTGGGATAAGAAAAGGGAAAAATTAAAATTCTGCTACATGAAATGATGTTTGCTTTTTCAGGATTATCTCTGCTTTTTCAGGCCTCAAAAAAGTGTTAAAATTAAACATTCTGACGAGGGAAACATGCAGCCTCAGGCGAAGGTTTTAAGATATCACAGGCAGAAAAGATCTAAACCATTTTATTTGGAGGCAGTTTGGATATTAATTATACAGCTGCCTTTTAATTTTTCTATCAGAAACATTTGACTGAAACCTTACCTTACTTAATGTTATTATAGATAGAAGTCATGGACAAAACTACAAAAAGAAAAACTTGGCTTGTATGAAACTGGAATTTCCCTTTAAGATTTTTCTGAATTGTCGTCTGTGTTGCTTTTGATTTCAACTGAAGCATCTAAAAGGCACAGTTGGATCTACTGTTACTGTCGGTCACGTTTTTTAAGATAAAAAAAGAAGCCGTTGCTGGTTCAATATGTTGTCGTGTCTTCATCTCAATCGTCTAAGGCACGATTTAATTTGACTCTCCGAGAACCTGCATTCAGGTTGCTAATTTCCCTTGTTATCTCGGCTCCGGCGGCCGCTCAGCCGCCTCGCCTGCCTCCGCTCGCCCACACACTTCAATACTCAATGCTGTCTGATGGCGAGTGCATAGAAAGGCCTCGATTACCTCTCTGCCAAGCTGTTAGAGCCGAGGATCTCTGGCTGGCTCACTCTTAGCCTGTGCCAGCGTAGCGCACCCACACACAGGCCCTGATGGGGGTTAGGTGAGTTGATGTCTCCACAGCCAAGCATGGGCTCAAGAGTGGGAGGCTTGAACCAGTTATTAATTGTTTTCTTTCTTTTTTAAATGCTAATTTCTTTTTCTCCCATGGCTGCTTTCTTCTCTCTTGGGGTTACAGATATCAGACGGAGCTGAACGTACTGCACTGATAAATAATGATGTCTCAGGGAAAGCAGAGACTGCAATATAGTGCCAGAAATGTGTTACACTGAACCAGGTCTTTATCGGGCAAATCCTCACTGAAATACTTTTACAATAATATCTGATATCAAACACCACACTGCCTCTATTTATTTTTCAGTGTGTTAAGATTACATATAAGGAGCCTAACGTACACAGAGGCAGTTAACTGCCCAGTTGTGTGTGGCAGCAACAAATATTTCTATCTTTTAAAATCAATTATATCTCATGTTTAAAATGCCTTTGACACATCTGTACCACCAGTAACCTACCAAAGTGCTTGCTAAGATAAGTAAGTTTACTTCACAAGATATTTTAAATCTAAACAGTTCATTTCTCACCCCCAAAAATCTTAAATTCACTTTGCTAACACACGCCTGAAAACATCAGCATCTCATATGATTGATGGAGTCCGACATGAATGAACAATTCCTCCACCAAATCTGGATCAGTTTTGGTTATAAGAGCTTTTTCTTGTTCTTTTTTTCTGTGCTCTTCTCACTGGTTTGTGCAGTGCTCTGTTTGAAAAAGATAATGTCACATACTCTCGTGCAACAATCACAGTTCAGTAAACATTTGAATCTGAGGACAGTGGGTGGGTTGTCTGGTCACTGTCAATCAAATCTGATCAAACTGCACCCAAACAGATGAACAGATTAGTTGAGTGTTAAACTCTTTGCAGAATACATTTTACCCAATACAAATATTCAAATGCAGTAACTGTTTATAACTTATAGCACTAGGACTTTCCAAGAATGGTTTAAATGATGATGTCTTGTCAGGAGTGTTTAGATAGGATAGCAGAGGTTGGTGAATAATGTTAATATTGTGTAACCGGTTTGAAACAGATATTTTGGTCCTACCCACCATTGTTATGCTTTAATCTCTAAACCCCTTTTTTAAAGTTATTGTGGGAAGGAATTAAAATGCGTCAAGCGGAGCGGGAAATGAATCAAGAAAAAGCCGAGTGAGTCTTTGAGAGGATATTCATTCTAGTTTTGTTACATTTTATTGGCTGTGCATGTGTGGGTCGGTTCGATGAATAATGTAGCAGGCGAGCAAAGCTTCTAATGTCACGCCCAGAAAGTTGAGTGCAAGGAGGGAGACATAAAGGGACCTCTGAAGAAGGATAACAAGTTTATATTGGAAATCCAATTAAAGATAAATGAAGGAAGGCTTCATCTCTTGGCTGCAGAATAAAGAGATAGAGATCTTGGCTAAGAAGACGACCATTTATATGGAAATCCCATATGTATTCATATGATGTTATGTATACATTTTCTGAAAACCAACAATGAAAATTGTTTTTGCTTCTATGTGCAAAAAAATAATCTGTATAGATTTTCAAATTCGTCAGAAATCTTGTGGTTTTGTTTTAACTATCTTGTCTTAAGTATCTTTTTAGGTGTAGTGTGTTATTTGCTATCCTTGCTCCTCAAAGTACTATAATCCAGGTAGTCCCCAGCGCTGCTCAGCCCTCCTTCATTATGTGTTCAGATTGAGGCTTTATCCTGAACGGAGGGATTGCTAATGAGATCCACTTCATCACAGCTGTCTTTCAGTTGTGAGTGGATCCAACTGTGCCATAATCACACTCAAGGATGGACATTGTGCGAATATGCATGCGCCATCTTAGGCAACAGCAACCAACCTACCCTTGAATGGCTCTCGTATCATCTATCTCATCAACATTGTTATATTGGAAAACTGCATGCCTGTCTTGATGTGCTGTATTTTTCTGAATAGAGTAAAAATTCAAAAAACCTCTGACATGAATATGCAGTATAACCAGTGTGAAATGTCACCAACATCAGCATTTTGCTTAACACCCCAATCCCATGCAACACTTAGCTTAAAGTCAGAAGCTCCCAAGCTTCACATTTATCAATTAAACTTTGCTAAAGTGGCGCTTGTTTTGTTTTCTTAACAGCGGAGGGAAGGGCGGAATTTCACACAGACTGCATCCAATCTTTAACGTGATAGAGATATGAAATTTGCCATTATGTAAATAGCAGAAACCGGGGAGTGTGCAACCGTTTTACACGGGCTAATTACATACAGCGAGCATTCACCTTAATGCATCATGCTCCAGTTATGTTAGGCTGTACTCTCACATGCAGAAAACCCTCATCTTGTTTTTCATTCAATTTGCCCCCCCAACTCTCCTGTACTTTGTGTCTATTTCAGTTTTACATGTGCACAAACATACAGTACACGCTCGCTTTCGGCTGAGGCATTGTGGACTTGGTGCTGCTGACATCTGTGCCACAATCATTCTGGCTCACTGAGTGGATTCACAATTACACGCTGGAGTAGCATTACACTGCCATATTAAGAATTCAAATTCGGGCCACACTGAGGGAGTTACTCGCGAGCGCTGAAAAATGAATGACTCTTTGGAGAAACATGTGAAGTGCCAGAGCTCATAGTTTTTATATTAGATTAGTCTGTAATCAAAGAGGAACTGGGCCATTGCAACTGGCTGTGCAGCAGCTTCTCTGCTCCCTGGCCAAAGCAGTGACATTTTTAGTTTAAGGATTTAAAAGGATGTTTTAGATACTTGACACTTTCTGACAAAATTGCTGAGTTCAGCTCAGTTCTGCGTGTCAGTTTGTCCTCTCTTTAAATTCATTTCTAGAAGTTGACAGGCATGAGGGAGCTTCACAGTGTTTCATCTTTCTTGGGGAGTCTTTCATTATGTGAAGATGTCACCCTGAACTGGTGCATATTTGGAAAATGTGGATCATTCAAACACATTGAACTTTTTCTTTTAAATCCATGTTTTCAATTAGTTTTTTAAGTGTTATGTAATTTTACGTGGATTATAGATATTTCTTTGGAAGCAGTTTTAATGAAAACTTCCTTTTATAAACCTCTTTGTAGATATTGAGCTTCAAACCCCCTTGAGATTCTTTTCTGGCGGAGTAAATAATAAAGCCTCGCTTTTTTTATTGACTTTATAATTGAGAGATTTTCTTTCTTTTAAAGATGTTTGCATTGCACACACTGGATGCTATAGTTCTGTGTGTGTTCATGTGGATATGTGGATTGTTTTTGTAGGTCCTGTGAGAGAGGTGTTTGCAGGTACATTTGCTGCAGGCTGTTTATGTCGACACTGCTAATAGGAACAGACACACATACACAGATATATAGTACATTTAGCTATGTGGCTCTTTATTCTCTATTTTTTCTGTTGACTCTGTGATACTTTGTTCCATAATAAATTGTTAATGTGTCACAACAAAAGTAGGTTTCTCTTCAGAAACGGTTTCTTTGTAAGTTACTATGTGGGTAAACTTAAAACCATGGCTGATCAAAATTTCATAGACTGACAATTTTGGAGTTTTAGGCCGATGCTGTAATTCATATTTTAGAGCTATTTTCTTTGTGACACAAACTCTTAATATAATAGACTTCAGAAGAACCTGCAGTTTCAGTTTGGCACTCTGCTTTAACCCAAACATTTTTTGCTGTCAAACCTATTGGCTTCTGCAGTTTTGTCAGTCTGAAATGAAATAAAAGTTGCTTTTTTTGGCATTGGAAGCCTTCCTTTTTCTTAATCTATTTTGAGGAAACAAACATTTAACATGTATATTTTTGATCCCACAAGGGTTAGTAGTGATAAAGAGGTAGGATATTTTACACAATAGTTGCACAGTACAGTAACTTATTGATGACCACATCTAATGATTGCTTTTATTATCTTTATTATTTATTATCTTATCTCAATTATTTTCTTTACATTTACATTTTTTGTCAATAACTCCGATCACATAAGACAAAAAAAAAATC